GCTCTGCTTCCCCGGGCGGCCCCGGGCTCCGCAGGTGCGTCCCACGTCAGCCGGGGGAGGGCAGGGCTGCCCGGGGCCCGCCCCCAGAGCTGCTGGGCCCAGGCCAGGCTACGCCGCGGGGCCCGTGTCCCGCCCCTGGCACCTGCTCTGCGGGCACGTAGGGACTTGGTCGGGGAGTTAATTCAGCTCCTTAAGGCGACCAGAGACTTCCCCTGCAAAGCCTTCACTTCCCCTCTGCTCTGTGTTGCTCTGTGGCACGGCCTGACCCCACCTCCTGGCAAGGCACATCTCCCGTCAAGAGACCCAAGCACGGTTTTCAAGCAACTCGGTCAAGCCTTGCTCCAGGACTGTGCAGTTTCGGAAACCTGGAGACCTTATGTATGCCCCTCCTGCCCCAAGGCTGCTTTTATCCTCCCGTTCCCTCACAGGCTTCACTGAGTGTGGTTTTGGCTGTTTCGGTCTGGTATTCTGGTGGGGTAATGAAGTCCACGGACATAAAACCTGCAATAGAAAAGGCCCACAGAATTAAAACACCATATCCCCTTCAATTAGAGTACACTATTTGTACTTTGTGTTCTTTGTAATTTGGCATTACAGTACTTCGTTGCCTTGCAGGAAGCAGTGCACATGGCTGTGGCTGTTCAGCCACTCTTGTCACAGAGACCGTTGCAGTATCTCAGCTAGACAGCACCTGGTCTTCTGTTCTACAATTAACCAGCACCAAAAAACCCCATACCGAATCATACCCGCTTGCTAGAGTTCTGCTAATACTTGTAGGATAGCTGCTTTAAAGGATACATCAGCTTGACAATATCAAATTTGAAAGATTAATTCACAGAGAGGCATGTTAATATTTTTTCTGAGAAAAACTGCAGACACAAGCTGTTCAGATTAAAAAACAACAAAGCAGATTGCCTGGGGAAAGAAACCTTAGAATCATGCCTGGTCTTGAGAGAGGACTGAGAACTATGGTCTGTAGCTGGGTGACAGCAAATAGTCTGCTATTCAATTGTTCTACAAAATTCAACTGCACTTTTTTAAAAGATAATAAAGAAAAGGCCCTAGAACCTGAAATGCCACTTAGTTTTCCCACAAAGCTCTTGTTCCAGGTATTCTAGTTTTGATAAAACCATACTGACAGGAGCACATTCAATGCCTTCACTTCTCAGTATTAGAAAGCAACCTCAAAGCAGGTTTGAAAGTTTGGGTCAAACAACGGGGGCAGAAAAGATGCTGAAGGGCTGGAATGAACAAGTAGTGGGGCTGAAAGGAGGAGCAATAAGTGGTAGTGTTTCTAGAAAAGCCACAGAAAATACAGTTTTAGGTCTTTACTATAATTTCTTGCTCAGAGCTTCTACTTTTGGGAAGAAACAATCCAAAGGAAATACAGTCACTTAAAGTATACACCATTTTTTTTACTGAAGCAGAAGAAGTGTTGAATTAACATGTTGATCACCTCCTTGAAGGTTGAGTCAGTTTATGAAATTTGCAGGAGAATCCCTATTTCAGCTCCAAAATGTAATGCACCATTGGCAGTGAGTCAGCTGGATTACAGCTTGGGCAGCCTTGCACTACACTGCAGTTGTTTTGCTGACAGACTGTCATTTTCCTGCTGATTTCTCATAACTGCTATTTTTAGCACCATTTACAGTGTCTTCCCTTGTTTCCACGGTCCAAGCCCTAATTCAGGCTTTTGCTTTTAAAGCCACAATTTGACTTGCACAAATCATTCCCGGGACTGTGCACTATCCTGTCTACGTGATCTGACTTGCTGTGTTCCAGCAGAATTTTGTTTGCCACAGAAACAGAAATGCTTAGTCAAGACAGAGGCAGACAATTTCAGCTGAAGCAGACTTAGCAGCTACTCTTGGCCAAAAGAGAGCACTTGAGGGAGGACCCTGTTACCCCTAAGAAATGTTACCTGCCTTTATGAACTTCCTCCCTATTTGCAGTGATAATTAGGTGATCTCCAAATCTTACTTATCCCCTCCTGGGTACCAAGAACTGCTTGGGTTCGTCTTATTAAAAACTGGTATGTGATCTTTCACAAATGTAGCTTCCCACTTACATTCTGTTTTCCCTTTCCACTTTGGAGAATAGACAGACAACACTTGAACAGCAGTGTCAGACTCCAACCCACTAATTAACAGACTGATGATGTCTAGCACCATTTTACACAGAGATTTTGGATCTATGTGACTAAGTCTAAAAGTGACAATGAATTTTTAGCTCACAGAATGTATTGTCAGCAAAAATGGATTTGATAAATTGTTACAAGCATCTGTATAATTGTAGCTTGCTTATGCCATGCTGCCAACAGTTAAAGTTCACTGAGAAATCCAGGAAAATTCAACTAAATTGATGACCTGGTACTTTTTTTAACCCCTTTTCACATATTCCATCAGGTGGCTTCACAAAAATCACTTTATTGGATAGAAAAGTACAACCATAGACTATTTTGCAACCTCTTGTCATTTCTTGGTAAAGGAGCTGCCATGTTTGCTCCTTTCTTCCTGAAGCAAACACTTTATCTTGCGTCTGCACTTCTCCAAAGCAGAGGCTGGTTCCCTCCCTGCTGGGCAGCAGGGCTGCATCCAAACTGCACTGCACTCAGCAGCACTACAAGCTGCTCTGTCCCTTGTGAGTCCCTCCAGCAGTGCTCTCTGACTGCCAGCTGCCTCAGCTAGCTGCTGCCATCCAGCTATCTGCTCCTGCTCTCCAGTATCTCCCACTTTTCAGCAGAGTGCCACAAAGTCAATGATTCCATGCTATCCTACTTCCTCAAAGAAGGCTTCTTAAGCAGACACCATGTCCTTGCTTCCCAGCTTACAACCTGTAGCTCTCAGGGCAAATCATTGCCTGAAGTTTTATACACAGTCCCAGTTATAAAATTTCCACCAATAATAGTGAGTGTCTTAA